CCGATTAAAAGTTGTTGTTTTTTTAAATAATAATCACTCCTTCATTATATAACTTCTGCCTGTCTTCCACCTAATCTAACAATGAAAATATGGAGAATGAATAGTAGAGACAGTGCCTATTCTATTCCTCTGTTCATACCTGGATTATTTTCATATTCTCAAGAACTTCCTATTTTTTAAAAGCAGAAGTGACAGAAATCTCACTAGTTTTTTCTAGAGGGTACCCTGCTATCTACAATTCATTTTACTTACACTCGTTAACATTCTCTTTGTTTTCATTTCTATCATTCTATGACTTTCATCTCACTGCTTTAGCAGAACCATCCTTAAACAATTCTTCACCTCATCTGGTGTTTATATCTCTTGAATGCATATATGTAAGTCAGCTCTCTTAGTCACTGTTTGGTCAAGCTATAAATAACTCTGTTAATCTTCCCTCATAAATCATTTTTGATGTTCTCCTCTGAAATAATTCCAATTGGTCAATGCATTTCTACTAGTAATATATCCAGAACCAAGTGCAGTAATCTAATTGTAGTCTAATAATTCCAAACAGATCCAGTGAAGGGTGGAGTGGTATCTATGCATGTTTGTGTGAGTTTCTTCATGATTGTGACTTTGTTTCAGAAACATAAAAAGGAAGTAGTTTTAATATTTTTCATCATAGTGTGGTAGGGAATGAACAGAAAAATTGCTTCAAAAATGATGAAAGTAGGGTGTAGCGTATGTCTGTAAGAGTATGCTATTATTTAAGTCTGTTTGGTTACCATGTACTGTCTATGTCAATCCCAAACCACTCTGGAGTTTTTGTTTTTCTGTGCTGTTTCACATTATAAACATTAAGTAAGGTTACTATCTATTCATTGTCTCTAAGTCTTAAGCAATATTAAAATCAATGTTCATTCCTTCCTATACAGAAGAGTTGATCCAAATTCTTCTTAGGCATGTGCACTGATTTGCATTCTTTTAGGTTCTATCTTTGATGTTATTCTAAAACGTACAAGTTTTCTATTCTGAAAGTGCTTATGATATATTTAATAACTATTTCTAGAGGCCAAAGATATTAGTGCACTGCCAGGCACTAGCAGCAAATCAAAATCAAAACAGAAAGCAAGGCTCAGGGTATTTTTGTATTGCTTCAAGCTACTGATAAGCCATATCATGAGATACCTCACAAAAGCTATGGCAAAGTCAGTCAATGAACGGAGTAGTCTAAAAACGTTTTATCAGCATTTACTTTTGTTGTAGGCTTAGCAGACTGGTGATACAGAGAAAGGATATGGACATAGTGTCATTTTATTTCTACAATGTATCTAACCAAGTCTCCCATAATCTCTTGGTAAGAAGAAATCTGGGTTGGAGATAGTAGTTACTGAACACATATAGCTGAAATGTGTTGATTCATAACTATGTAACTTGAAGACTAATTTCTAGTTGCATATGACAGATTTCTGTGTTAGGCCTATAACATTCAATATTTTCTTTATGACTCAAATGCAGGCAGACTATGCCCTTAAAAAGTGTGCAGAGGATAGTGGAATGTATGTATTTTTTTAAATAATTACTCAAAAATATCTTTACATACTAGGAATGCAAAATCAAAATCAAGATAAATATTTTTAGAAAATTCTTTAAATATTTTAAACATCAATTACATAACATACAATAAAAGAGAAGAACTGTACTGACGAGAGTGTAAACAAACATATGAGCAAAAAAATCTGGGAATTGTAATTGACCAGAAGCACAACAAACTAATACTGAGCAGCTTTGGGATGTTCAAACCCTGCACATTCCAAAGAAAGAAATGGCCCCTGACTTGGCTCCTGGGAGATAACCTCTAAGTCCTTGGAATATCCTGTCTGATAAGAGTATCTTTGTATACCTGGGACGTTGGGCCATGTCAGATGATTTATGCTAACAATGTGATTTATGCCGGAGGCCTTGGACCACAATGTATCTGTTTAACCTCTGAATAACTGAAGTCAGTCATATGGGCACCCCATGCCTATGGAACTCACCCCCAGTAAAAACCATGGACACCAAGGCTTGGGTGAGTTTCCCTGGTTAGTAATACTTCATATGTTTGTCACACATCGTTACTGGGAGAATTAAACACTGTCCATACAAATTCACTGCGAGAGGACAACTGGAAGCTTGTGCATGGTCTCTCCTGGACTCTGCCCTATGCGACCTTTACCTTGTAGCAAATCACAGAACCTGAGAGTGGTCTTAAGAACCCCTGACAGAGTACTAAATCTGATCTTCAAGGGAATGGGACTCCATTACAGTAAAGTTTACTGTAAAAAAATTTTTTGGAGGAACAGTGAAGGAGTCTTAAAACTCCATTGGTACCAAAGAGCTGTATTTTTAATGGTGAAACATCATTTAGATTGTAACAACTTAGAGCATGTTTAAAGAGACTCAAGTAAAACATAATTTACTTCTCCTAGAGCATTAGCAAAGACAGTAAAAGTAAAATGAATACATGCATCTTTGATCAACCAAATCTCCTTTATAAATAGTTCTTTAATACAGTTTATATCAATCTAGGAACAAAGTTCACAAATATGTCTTGATGCCTCAAATCCCCATTCAGATGTGATTCTCTTACCTCTAAACTGTAAATATAGTCCTTTATACCATTTGGCTGACACAACTATGTAACATTCTAATTTGTCTGTATGCCAATGGTCAATCAATCAATATAGATTTTGTATCTACTATGTGCCAGGCATTGTTCTAGGTACCATAAGTTCCTGCCCTCAAGTATTACATTTTAGAGGGGAGATAAACAATAAACATAAAACATAGAAATAACTCCCAATAAGATTAAATATGGTAATGTGGTGTATGTGTGTATGATGAAAGATACTGTTTTAATTTAGGTGGTTAAAAAAGGCCTTTCTAAGGAAGTAGTCCATCTGAGTTGAGATCTAGTAACCATGCAAAGATTTGTTTAAAAAAAAAAAAAATAGAAGGAAAAGTAAGTACAAAAACGCTTGAGACTGAAATGAGCTTGATGCATTCAGGAAACGGAACGAAGGCCAATATTGCTTAGTACAGTGAACAAAGAGGAGAGAGAATAAAGGGAACAAAGATTAAAGATCAGAGGACGAGATTATATGACTGTCAGCCAAGGTAAAGAATTCAGATTTTATTGTTTCAATTGTCAGCATTGGAAAGTTTTAAGCCATGGACTAAAGTAAGGTTTTGAACGGTCACTGAGGCTAGTTTGTGAATGACAGACTATAATGAGGCAAAAACAGCATCAAACTGACCAACTGGAAGGCTACTGCAATAGTCGAGACTAGAGATAATGGCTTATATAATGCTGAATTGAGAAATGGAGATGATGACAAATCAGAATGGAGCAGTATCTACAAAATTTCATTGATGGACTATTTGTGAGGTAAAAGCAACTGGGTGGACATCTGTGCTATATACTATGATAAAGAAGGCATGTATGTTTGTGTGTATGTTGGGAAGAAACAGACTTGTGAGCAAAAACCAGTAGCAATGCTTTAGATGTGTAATATGTGACTGTCTATTATATATCTGAGTGGTAAAGTTGAATAAGCAATTAGATATATGAGGCCAGGCTCAGGGGCAAGATCTGGACTGCAGAAATAAATCTGAGCAATTTTCAGGGTATAAATATTTGAAGTCATGGTATTGAATGGGTAATCCATGCAAATAATTAGGTATAAAAAAACAAGAGGCAGGATTGAACTCTAGAGCATCTGAATATTAGAGGCTTGATAGAATAAATAGTCACAGCAAAGACAAGTGAGAAGTAATGAGCAATGAGTAGAGGGGAAGCCAGGCAAATGTAGCAGAACTGAAGCTTAGAGACAAATGTGTTTCAAGCATTATGTTGTTGAAAGGTCAAGTAAGATGAGGATAGAAAGGTGTAACTCCCTGATGACCTGCAAAAAATGTCCTTCAATGGAGTGATGGTTGCACAACAAGTATTATACTTTTTATTCATTATAGCTCTCACAGTCACATATTCATTTCAAGTTTCAAACACCTATTATATGACTAATAATGTTAAATATAGCTTAAATACTTCAAAAAACCTGTTTTTTTTTCACCCAATATATAAACATGTGTGCTTACATAAAGCTGGATCGAGAAATGAGACTTACGAAACTAATACTATCATCCTCAAATATGCATTCGTAAACTTACAAAATTCTTTCAAACTAATAAAGTCACAGACAACTGCTCACCTTTATTTCTACAACTCAAACGTTTAAGAGAATGTGGAGAAACTGATGTCAAAAGGCCTATTTCAACAACTGAACTTGCACTGTATGTGTTTCTGAATGAGTATAAATAAATCCTCATTTATCATTTTCTGCTGAGTTCGCACCTATGTAAGGTTAGAAACTGCATTTCTAACAGGGCTCCCACTCACTATTGCACAAGAGTAGCTTCCTAATTGTTTGGAAAATCCTTCACCGTTTTCTCTAACACTTATTCCAGGGCTAGGTAGGGAGTTTTAAGAAAAAAAGAGAAATAAGACAAGTGATTACTTTTAATACCTTAAGTAAAAGAACAGGTAATCCACAGTAGAAGAAAAAGAGCTTGAGAGGGAAGGATAGTGGTGACATAAAATTGTTTGAGAAACAAAATCAAGAATTAAAAATAGAATTACATTTTCTAGCTGGCAATACACAAACACTAAGTGCACTTTATAAATTTTACTATTGTTGTTCTAAGTGTTATTACCATAAATCACATTAGTAGTGTACTTAGCATTTTTTAAAAGCAAAAAGGATTGAGAGTGCCAATAAGTTTAAACAGCTCTGTTATCTCTGAAGAGAGTGGAAGAAAAATTATCACAAGCTTTTACTATGTCTAAAAGCCCAGTTCTAATGCCCCAGTCTTGGCTATCCCTCTCCCTCTAGCTTCAGCAAAATATAGAGCATCACTTTGCCAGTAATATTAGAAAACTGTTCATTGCTGCTTTCTTGATTTTTTTTTTTTGTTACCTGATGTGTAAGAAGAGATAGCTGTTTGCCCCTTTTTTCATCTCGGACAGGAAAAAGAGATTTAAGCAGCTTTGGCATCTGCGGCACAAAGGATTTTACTGGATTCAAGTAGGAGGCTGCTAAGCTACTAAGTCCTGTCAACAATATTAAAAGGAAAAAAAAAAAACAATTACATAAACATTTGCTTTTCTGTGAATCTGCTAGGTACCATTTGTAAGCAATTCTATCAATATAAATAAAAAAAGGTATCCATAAAAATTTTAATATTGGGAAACATAGTATTATTGTATTTACCCTCAACCACAATGACGTTTTCTATTCCAACTAAAAAGTAGTAACTGGGGTATTTCTACAATGTTCTAAGTATCCAACGTTCCTATCAGTATTCAAAGGGTAAAAGTACTTTCAGTCCTTGATACTAAATGGAACAAGTACTAACTTCCACCCTAGAGTAAAAGGGGATCTTAATTTTTAAAATCACATAGCTGATGACACAGATGTCTAGTTCTTCATCTAGACTTTAAACTCTTTGAAGTCAGGGACTATGTCTTATTTGACTCCCATTTTGCTTGACTGTTTACTAAACGAAGACATAACTGATCTTTCAGGATAAGGGTGGTGTCTGAGTTGTTTTTACAAGGGACAGATGCCCTGAACCAACGATGTTCCTAAAAACCTATTGCCGTTGAGTCAATTCTGACTCATAGAGACCCTACTGGACAGAGTAGAACTGCCGCACAGGGGTTACAAGGCTAACAGTCTTTATAGAATGAGACTGTCGCAACTTTCACCCACAGAACTGCTGATGGGTTCGAACTACTGTCCTTCCAGGTAGCAGCTGAGCACTTTAACCACTGTGCCACAGGGCTCACTATGTTCTTACCCGATCTTAATTACCAAAGGCTGGGATTAGAGGTGCAGACAATGCCTATGATATAATGAGATTTGTCTCCCCTTCTGGGATAAAACTAATTTACTCATTAAGAAAATTTAATCCAAGACCAAAATAATAAAACACTGTATCCCCATAACACTTTAAAAAGAACAAAGCAAGTCAGCTTAAGGAATCAGTATGTAATACTGACTGAACATAAGTGAACAGCTACCTGCTCACCTCTACTCCATCTTCGTCCCTGAGAAAACTCCAAATTTATTAGCAATAGAGTCACTTGAGCCTAGGGAGTGTTTCCAGACTGCCAAGAAATAAACTATAGCAATCCTTGGATTTCTAGTTCTGATATATCCAGCCAAGTTCCCACAGAACGTGATATACAGAACAGAAAGAGCCTAGACTGAGGAGGTCTGAGCTCTAGTCCAGCTTCAATGGCTTAAACTATGTAACTCTAACTGGGGAAAGTTACTTAGCCCAGAGGGGAGTAGGGGAAGTTTCCTAATCCGTAAAATGGAATCAGGAGATGTTATCAAGGTCAAGTAAAAATGAATGTTAAGCGGATACACAGTACCCCAGGTTATACAGTAAAGGACTCAATAAAATATTAGCCTCTTTCTCTTTAAACCTGTAAGAACCATAACCCCCTCCATGGGTCTATCCTAAGGACAAACCCTAAAATACATAAAAAATTAATTACCTTTTAAACATTATAATATAGTTATTATGAAATGGATACTTGTATATTTACTCCATGCTTTTATAAATATCAACCAACTTGAAGCTTGAAGGGTGAAAGGAAGGGGATTAGAATATAAAAAGTGCTTGGATTTAAATTTCAAATTCTCATGAAAATATATATTAAAAATACTCATGAGTAGGATGTAAGTTAATTTACAGAGTTTAACACTGTAAATGTAACTAAAATAACAGTAGAAGAATAGCCTAGAACACAACTGAGCATGACCTACACAAAAGCATAATGCTGATCAGTTGTTCGTATCACCACATAGAAATAAAGATGAAGTAGATTTATTAAAGATTTGGCAAAAATGGGAAAAGCTGCTGAACTCTAAATATAAATATGTGCATATATACATGTATATACACACAGATATATATTACACACAGACAGACATATATATGTATATATACACAGGCATACCTTGTTTTATTGTATTTCACTTTATTGCGCTTCACAGATATTGAATTTTTTACAAATTGAAGGCTTGTGTCAACCCTGCATCAAGCAAGTCTATCGGCACCATTTTTCCAACAGCATGAGCTCACTTCATGTCTGTGTGTCACATTTTGGTAATTCTCACAATATTTCAAACTTTTTCATTATTATTATATCTGTTATGGTGATCTGTGATCAGTGATCTTTGAGATTACTATTGTAATTGTTTTGGGATGCCACAAACTGTGCTCATACAAGGTGGCAAACTTAATCAATAAATGTTGTGCATGTTCTGACTGTTCCACTGACTGGCCATTCCCCCATCTCTCTCCCACTCCTCAGGCTTCCCTGTTCCCTGAGATACGACAATATTGAAATTAGGCCAATTAATAACCCTACAGTGGCCTCCAAGTGTTCAAGTGAAGAAGAGTCGCATGTCTCTCACTTTAAATCAAAAGCGAGAAATGATTTAAGCTTAGTGAGGAGGCAAGTCAAAAGCCAAGATAGGCTGAAAGCTAGGTCTCTTGCTCCAGTTAGCCAAGTTGTAAAATGCAAAGGAAAAGTTCTTGAAGGAAATTAAAAGTGCTACTCCAGTAAACACATGAATGATAAGAAAGTAAAACCTTATTGCTGATACGGAGATAAGTTTTAGTGGTCTGGATAGAAGATTCTCATACCACCAAGAAAGTAGGGCTGGTGACTTTAAGTTGAAGCCAATGTTCATTTACCATTCCAAAAATTCTAGGGCCTTTAGGAATTATGCTAAATCTACTCTGCCTGTGCTCTACAAATGGAACAACAAAGCCTGGATGACAGCACAGCTGTTTACAACATGGTTTACTGAATATTTTAAGCTCACTGTTCAGACCTGCTACGCAGAAAGAAGGATCCCTTCCAAACTATTACTGCTCATTGACAATACACCTGGTCACCCAAGAGCTCTGATGGAGATGTACAAGAAGGTTAATGTTGTTTTCATGCCTGCTAACACAACATCCATTCTACTGCCCATGGAATAAGGAGTAATTTTGACTTTCAAGTCTTATTATTTAAGAAATACATTTTGTAAGGCTATAGCTGCCATAGATAGTGATTCCTCTGATGGATCTGGACAAAGTACAGTGAAAACCTTCTGGAAAGGACTCACTATTTTAGATGCCATTAAGAACATTCACGATTCATGGGAGGAGGTCAAAATATCAACATTAACAGCAGTTTGGAAGAAGTTAATTCCAACCCTCATGGATGACTTTGAGCTGTTCAAGACTTCAGTGGAAGAAGTAACTGCAGATGTAGTGGAAATAGCAAGAGAACTAGAATTAGAAGTAGAGCCTGAAGATGTGACTGAATTGCTGCAATCTCATGATAAAACTTTAATGGATGAACAGTTGCTTCTTATGGATGAGCAAAGAAAGTGGTTTCTTGAGATGGAATCTACTTCTGGTGAAGATGCTATGAACATTGTTGAAATGAAAACAAAGCATTTAGAATATTACATAAACTTAGTTGACAAAGCAGCGGCAGTTTGAGAAGATAGACTCCAACTTTAAATGAAGCTCTACTGTGGGTAAAGTGCTATCAAACAGTGTCACATGCTACAGAGAAATCTTTTGTGAAAGGAAGAGTCAATTGATGTGGCAAATTTCACTGTTGACTTATTTTAATAAACTTCCACATCCACCCCAACCTTCAGAAACCACCACCCTGATCAGTCAGCCGCCATCAACATTAAGGCAAGACCCTCCATCAGCAAAAAGATTAAGACTCACTGAAGGCTCGGATGATAGCTAGCATTTTTTAACAATAAAGTATTTTTTAATTAAGGTATCTACATTTTTTAGACATAATGCTATTACACACTTAATATACTATAGTACAGTGTAAACATAAGTATTATACACACTGGGAAACCAAAAAATTCATGTGACTCACTTCATTGCAATATTCGCTTTATTGCAGTGGTCTGGAACCCACCCCGCAAATACACACACACATATAATACATTATATTATATATTATACACATTATATGTTATACACATATATTATATAAATATATATTATATATATATATTATATATATTT